GGTAGGGTTCTTTTCGATGGTTATTTAAATTTTCAATTTAAGTTATTAGACAAACATGTTGCTGTTATAACTATTACTCTACTAGTACGGCACGTGCATAAAATAAAATTCAGCAACGCCGATATATCGATAAAGGTATCCTTACAACCCTATAATAAAATAAACGGGTTTTCATGAACATAGTTTTATGTGTCCGCTTTTTATTTTTTGTGTCCTTTTATATAAATTTCAATTTTGTAGGTACATTTGACATTTTAGTGAGTTGCGTATTTATTTTTAATTTTTCTGCTTTTCGCTTAAGGCCATGTAATCAGTGACAAAATAAATTAATGAAAAAACATATTTTATTTACAAGAAAAATTAAAGCTGCGATAGACTAAGTTTTTGGCGGGAACTTGACCGCCGTTGGCTCCTTATTTTTGTTTGGTTAAAAGTGAATTTTGACACGTAATATCGGTGCTCTTTTATGAATTCAATGTCGTTCAATGGGAACCATTAATAGAAACGATCCTCAAGTTATTATTCCTGCTTCGACGCTCGGCTGACTGACTATCTGTATCTGCTGTGTTTAACCATAAACTATCATTATAAACTCCCAAAAACTTTAATATATAATGACACTGGCACAAGTCCTAGTCGTACGAGTCCATTACCATAAATACTAACATTGTTACTTTGATTTAATTTTTTTAAGACAAAATTATAATTTTTTGCCGCAATGATTTCACCAGTAAACTATAACTGGCAATGATTTTTCAGTGACATTGACCTACACTGTCACACCACGTCGCTAGTTTGCTACTGGAATGTTTTTTAATATTGTAAATAATAGAGGTCATTGATTACGATTAATGGCGTTGCATTCAGTTGCTAGGTACGTACTTATGCAGTTTTGTTCAAATTATCTTTTAAAAAAGTTTGATAAGCATTTAAACGTTTGTTATAGAAGTTTTTGAAGAACATTCTTTTTTACATGATAAATACCTTAGTCACAGTGGTTCTTGGTATTTTTTTGTAATGATTTCAAATAGTTGCAATAATTGTTCGTTTTATCAAGTAGGTATATACATGCGAATACGTTTCTTCCTCTAACCTTAGCGCAATCCCATATTACAATGCAGTCCCTCACTACCCTATGAGTTAATTTAGTTTAGAGATGGGCAAGTGAAAAAAATATCGATACGATATATCGATATTATAAAACAGTATCTATAATTATCGCGTGATAAATATGGATTTATTGATGTATCATCATGTTTTGCATAATGTAGTAGGATGAGGACCAAAATTTTATCTGATAAATTACATTGTCTATTACAATATTAAATAAATATATTATTTTAAATTATAAATTGATACGAATTCAATACTTTGAAATAAATATCAAATATGGATATCACGTTTAAAAATATTGATATTTTGTGAGAAAATATCGATATTTCGATATATCGATATTTTTTACCTAAGCCTAGTTTAGTTGCTGGCTTACTGGTACCAGCTTACTGCGCCGGCCGCTTTGTTGTAACGCCGTAGTCTTAACGATCTTGCGATTTCATAGCCTGCTGTTTGTAGCAGATCGTATGAATGAATAGAGCATGTGTATCATTATGATAATTCGTTTCATATGATTTTTCACAACATGCTATTTATGAAACACAATACGTATAAGGCGACAGTTGGGATATTGGGTTTGTGGTAGTGTAGGCGAAGGACTAACCCCACGTATCATTTCTTTAACAGTTTTTACTATCGCAATTAAAAAGTGGGGTTACCTACTCGCCTGCCAAGCGTGGCAACTATGGCAAGTATCGCTCCAATGAGAAAATCTATAGGGAGACATATTTTCACCACTGGACTTTATGGGTCGTAAGGAAAGAATGCATGAATATTTCGTTGTTGATGCCGCAAAGGGGCGAACCTCAATTTTTCAAGAACTTATAAAAGACCAAGAAAACATTTATTATTCCCCGATGACTAGCTTTTTCTTCATCAGAAAATTAATCTTATTTGTAGTTTTCCATTAAGTCTAATATATTTAATTTTCTGATGAAAAAAGCTAGTAATCGGGGAATAATAAATGGTTTCGTACCCCCCCGTAATTCTTTGAAAAATTGGGGTTCGCCCCTGTGCGGTGTCAACGACGATTTATTCCATTCATATTTTTTATTCTTACCTCGTTGGTCGTCTAGTCAAGAAATTCTCAGTACCAGGTCAGTCAGGAAGTTGGCGGTGTTTTACCCGCATGCTTCGAAAAGCGCGTAAAGCCGTTGGTCCTGCGTCTGATCCCTGCGGTCGTTTTGAATTGTCGTCTCATCGGGCCATGAGAGTGAGGGAATAGAGAGTGCACCTATGCTTGCGCGTACAATTGGGCACTATTATCCTGACCTTGTTTATATAGAATGCGAGTGACAAACGAGCACACGGTCTACCTGATGGTAAGTGAATGCCGTGGCCCATAGACATCTATCTACATTTATCCTCGATTAAGAATCAAAATGCAGATGCGTTGTCATCCCTGAGGGCTAAGATGGAATGCCTTGTTTCCAGTAAAAACGGTCTCCGTTTCGGACTTGACAGATGGCTAGTCTTAGTTGAGACTGGCCGCCGTGACCTAAATTCGGTCTGGAGTACATTATTATTATAATCTTACGTCTTATGTAGACTTTATGTATCGTGACGTCGTAAGAAAGCAATCAACACATTTAGGTTCGTGGATTGCGAGCAGGAAATCTCAAATATCGTCATACAAAAAATGGCAATTGATAATGATATAATGATAAATGATATACATGATATTCACGCTTCTAACAAGCTTATCTTGCAATTGATCGTTTATTAGTACTATTTATATCTTACAAATATAATGACCTGAACGGTGTGTTACACATTATGTATTTTGTTAGTCCCTATCTCACGTATTTCGTTACTGACTAATGTTACAATTAGGGTTGCCAACCATACTGTTAAAACATACTCTTCGTTTACTTTTATATTAAAATTCAAAATACTGTTTAGTGTTTATCATCGCTGGTATTCGGAGTCATACTCAGAAAAAGAGATTCTATCAATTTAATTTAAAAAAATGAGCTCCTCATTTGTTTTAATTTCGACTTAAACTGTGGAGAGGCTTACGAATATTTTATAAATGATAATAAATTGTAAAATTGCGCAAAAAACAGCTCCAAAAATATGTTTATAAAATTTAATAAAATAATGTTTATTTAACTGAAATACTGTTTACTATAATTCTCCGACCTTAATATAAATTATTTCTCTTACATAAAGTTGACAACCCTAGTTACACAGCCTATAGTATATGTAACCTCGTAACGTGTTACGAGGTTACAACTGGAACTACGATTGAATACCGTACATACGAAAATGTTTTGAATTTATATGATCTTATCTGAGCAAGAACATAATGTTTTAGTAGTAGCTTAGGAGACCATGTAACGTTCATTGACCTCACGTGACCAATGTTCACAAGTGGCCATATACATATAGTATATCGCACTATAATTTGTAGATGTTTTTATTTCTCGTGAAATAAAAATTACTATAGTTCAAAATACGATAATCTTGATTGCGTAGTTTTTTTAGGACAGGAAATTTTTATGAAAGCAAAAAATAACTTTATACATCTATCCATACATTTAATAAACAAAATTGAAGTGTCTGCATGTGTTATCGAAATAACTATTGAGCCGAGGGGGGGGGGGGTTATTTGCATACCAATAATGGGCCCCTGTACACCATCGGCCATGATGGACGAATACTAGCGATCACGATCGTGTGGAGGGCATGATCGCCTATAATCGCCCGTGATCGGTGATGATCGAGAGATGGCTGCTGTGTCGGTTTTTCGGACAATCATCAAAGGAAGTTCGGCCATGATCGTACGCGCTTCTACATGATCGCCGATGCTATATAATCTTACTTTGTTTTCATTTTAGTGTATAGTTAACATCCACGTTTTTTGCTCCTTTTTTTTTCACCACTCTTTTAAGGTGTACATTTAAATAATGGCTATACATATAAACTAATTGGGTAAATAAATAGCGGCAACTGCTACTGTTTCAATGTCCATCTCGGACAGATGACAATACAAATTTGTAGGATGCACGATTGTGTGGGCAGCCGCACAATGATTGTGATAATCATGCTTCATTCATGATCGGCCATGACGGACAACCACAGAATGGGTCATGTTTGTCACAATCATTGCGCGGCTGCCCACACGATCGTGCATCCTACATTTATTTGTATTGTCATCCATCTGTCCGAAATGGACGTTGAAACAGTTGCAGCTGCCGGTATTTATTTACTTAATTAGTTTATAGGTATAAGCATTGTTTAAATGTACGCCTTAAAAGAATGGTGAAAAAAAAGTAAGCAAAAAAAGGTGGATGTTAACTATACACCGAAATAAAACAAGGTAAGTTTATAGAGCATCGGCATCGGCAATATAAATATGTAGGATAGGATGCACGATCGTGTGGGCAGCCGCGCAATTATTGTGACAATCATGGCCCGTTCTGTGGTTGTCCATCATGGTCGATCGTGTATAGGGCCCATTAGGTTGACAAACATGGCCGATGGTGTATAGGCGGGGTAAGACTTGAATAACAATTTTTAAATTTTTGTCTGATTCTTCGGAATGACTAAAACTGTTGCAATTAAATTTCATGAACAGATAGAGAACAATATCAGGTGTGATCTAGGCTATTTTTTATCCGAAAAACTTAGATTTTTAAAAAAAAAACGAAATATTGATAAAATAAATGGTCTAAGATTATCTGTTTCTGGTGTTTACTATAGTCGTTTCTTACGACACCAACATAACGTAATAGGATGATGGATTCTCCTAAGCCGCCAGCATTACCACAAGGCGATTTATTATTTATTACTACTATGACTTGTGACGGACTGTAATGATGATATGACGATGATCATCATCATCGTGATGATGTAATACTAAGTAATAAAATATTATTTTACAGAGAAAGAAGAGAGTTGTAAATGGCAAGACTGCAGGGCTGGACCCATTCTCAGATAATGATGATGACGTGGAACGAGTCGCCAGAAAATTTGAACAGAAATACGTAAGTATATTTTGTTTTTAGAAGTTGTTAGATGCGTATAATATATTAATGACTTGTTACCATTCGAAACTACCTTCGATATTGAAACAAGCCTTATTTATTACATGGATAGGTTAGGACAAGTGAATGCCTTATGATATGTGCCAGTACCTCAAACTCAAATTAAGATAACAAACACCATGTACTCGCACGGGTGGAACCAATGGAACCAATCATTGAAGCAACCATTCCATTCGGAAGTTGGGGTCTCCAAAATGGCCATTTTGTAGGCGTCCACAGCTTCTTCAGGTGATGAAAATCTCTGTCCACACAATTTATTCTTTATTTTAGGGAAAGTATAGAAATCATTAGGGCTTAGGTCGGGGCTGTACGGCGGATGGTCTAATAATTCTATGTTTTCTTGCTCTAAAAACTCTTTTCTTCTGTGTGCGGAGTGAGAACTCGCATTGTCGTGATGAAGGATGATGCGGCGGTTGCAGTTCTCTTTACGGAGTTCAGAAATGACCTGTGACAAACAAATTCTAGCATACCATTCTGCATTAACCGTTCTTTGTCCCTCAAGAGGAATAGTCGTAACATGGCCGGTTTTGGAGACAAACGTGGCCACCATTTTTTTTGCAACACTCCGTGAACGAACAATTTTTGTTGGCTTTAACTCATTTTCGAACAAACTCGTGATTGGTTTTTTGTTTCGGGTTCGTATGCGTATATCCAGGATTCGTCACCTGATACGATGTTGTATACAGCATTTGAGGATCCTGCGTGGAATCTTTCGAGAGTTCTGACGCACCAAGTAACGCGAGCCGCTTTTTGCTCTTCACAGAGCGAATGTGGTATCCATCGGGAAAACAACTTTTTTACACCTAATTGTTCATGCAAGATTATTTGTATTTGACTCATGCCAATGTCTAAAGTTGCCTGAATTTCGCGGTATGTCACATGTCGATCTTCCTCAATCAGCTTACGCACAGCATCAACGTTTTCTTGGGTGACTGCAGTTTTTGGACGACCTTGACGGGGATCATCACTGAGCTTGACACGTCCTCGTTGAAATTCAGCAAACCAGCGATAAATTGTGGTTTTGGATGGGGCTTCATCACCAAATGCAGAAATCATCCGGTCAACACACTGTTTTTGTGTTAAACCACTTCGAAAGTCATAATAAATCATCGCTCTTGAATTTTCTCGAGTCAATTCCATTTTTTCAACGACTAAACAAGTTTGACAAAACCTTGTGACAAGACCGAGAATCTTTTTTTAAATAAATAAATGGTATTCGATTTTTAAAACCAAGGACTTTTCAATTAAAAAAAAAAATTAATATGACAGGAACAGTGGAAATATTCCATTCCCGATACTTTTAGTGCAGCCCTCGTAATAACAAAAAACAATTTTTTATATTTTTGTCTGTCTGTCTGTTTTTTCCGACTAATCTCTGACACGGCTGGACCGATTTTGACGGGACTTACACTGGCAGATAGCTAATGTTATAAGGAGTAACTTAGGATACCTTTATTTTAGAAAAATAATCACGGTACACGCAAAAAATTAAAACCGTAGTAAATTTCACGCGGGCGTAGTCGCGGGGGACAGCTAGGTACATAAAAACGTACCGTTATGAAAGTACTGCCGTGCTTATCAACAGTCTATGTAAGGTCGACATCGTTTTGAGGCAAAATCACATGCATTTGATTGAAATACACTATAGTATAATATTCGTATATTCTATTATTATATGGGTATATTCGAAATGAATAAAACTTTCCAGTATCTTCTTTTACACCAGCCCTTGAAAATCTAACGTTGGAAGTAGGCCCTTACTATTGTAGGGGGAGGGATTGACGACCACGGAACAAGACGTCTCGCATTTTTAAAACCTCTGCCCCAAAGATGTTTTATAGGTCAACATCTTTGCTCTGCCCCGTGGCCACGCTGCGTCTGCTGTAAACGAGTTACATCGCCATCTTGTTTTTATAAAACTGAAATGACAAACTCACTTACAGCCCACCTGGTGGTAAGTGGCTACTGCAGTCACACACTTAGTGATCTTATCCATCGAAAGCCAAAATATATTTTAGGCATTTCCTATAGTCGTATACCTACTCTTTTACTACATCCACCTATATTTAAAACGGCAGCTATACGTTCGTAGTTTATTTGATAACTATAGACATAATTCGTAAGTTATCACATAGTTTTTTTTTTATTTCGCCAGCGCGCGTACGTGTGTGTGTATGTGTACGTGCGTGTGTGTGCGTGCGTGCGTGCACGCTTGTGTGTGTGTGTGTGTGTGTGTGTGTGTGTGTGTGTGTGTGTGTGTGTGTGTGTGTGTGTGTGTGTGTGTGTGTGTGTGTGTGTTTTCATCCTAGTCCACTGCAGTACACAATTCTCCCACTAACTTTCCGTTTGGCTGGTAGAAAATGCCATGTGGTATTAAGTCCGCCGTTTGTACCTTTAGTACAGTAAAGTGTATTAATTAATAAAAAAATTAATAGTTCAATATCAATTATAAAAACAAAAGAGATTTAACAAGTTGTCGTAATCATTTCCAGGGAGGTAAGAGCACCTACGGAAGAAGGGGAAGGTCGAAGCACGACGACTTTGCCGACATTGGGGCTGGCTATGATGAAAACGATTCGTTCATTGATAACACACATGGCGTGAGTATGATTTTACTTTCATCATCAAGGTGACGTCCATAAAACCTTCACACTTGGCAACATCTGATAGCACTGATAAAGTTTTATGACGGTTGTGCACATCTAGCCTGTCACACGATGAAATGTGGCAGGAAATAAGGAGTGCAATACTCGCTGTAACTGCACAATACTCAATATCAATACCATGTTCATCATCATTGAAGAACTTATCTTGCAGTAAAATTTACTTACGGCTTCAATTTAGATTCAAATCCAACCATTAACCTTATTTCATAAATCATTGCGTTTACTGTGTTAAGATGTTTTATAGTATATATTTACTTGCTGTTTTAATTTGTATTCGATTCCCACCATTTATTTTATTTTATAAAACTGTTGTCCTTTTTTTTAGGATATTTTAAAAAACCTATCTGTCCCGGGAATGTCAAAGCGGGTTAACATTTAATGGTAATAATTTTTTTTTACAATTTTCAGTACGACGAGATGATCCCACCGGAATGTGACACGCTGTACGGTGGCTTCTACATAAATAGTGGCTCATTAGAGTTCAAGACAGTATCTGATGAACACCAAGCCAACTCTGAGGAAGAACCTGCTGGCAGTAGAAGGTTGAAGGTAATCTCCTTTTTACTTCTAGATTCTTCTGCAAATAATGGTGAACAGTAGTAACTCGGATTAATAAAATATAAAGATATCATCATGGATTTGTTGGATTGTCGATTGCTTCATGTTTTATTACTGTTCATGTTAATCATGCCATCATGCCAATATATTATATAATTGATATAATATTGGATTTCTTTTTATTTTATACAAGCCTTGGGAGCCATACTATAAACATCCTAGTATCCATTGATGAACATAGGCCTTAGGCAATCTATGAGGAGACTAAAAATAAAAAGAAATCCAATATTACTAATTAACACATAATATTATATTATTTTGTTAGTGCTAATTAATTAACAGCATCGATTGCGATACGATTCCTTAGTCTACTCAAAAAGGGAAAAATAAACTTTAGAAAAGTAAAAACTAATCAAAAAACTCAAAAGATTAAATATGTTTTCCACATAATTGCATTTAATAAGTCACAATAACTAGCAGTAAATGTCTGGAATTTTATTCTCCAATACACTATAATATCTTAGTATCGACTTCAGAAGCTATTAGGTGGTAATGATTTTATCTGAGGGCACGGCAGTGCCCCACCAAGTCGACCAAAGGAGCGTCACGGCCGTACCATCCTTTTCTCGAAGCAGTTCAGGCCATTTTCAGACCCCCCATAACTTCGTTGTGGATAAAACTAAAAGCTTGAATTTTCAACGACCAAGCATGCATTGTATAAACACGGTATATTTCGAATTTCGTTTAATTGGAACCAGTAGCTTAAGAATTATAACTAGTCAAAGTTTCTTAATTTTGTCACTCACTGACTGACCGATCATCAAAACTCTAAGGCACTTCTAGCAGACGCAGAAGCTTCGAATTTAGAATACAATTAGTGTTTAGTGTATTAATCAAGGAAAAACTAAAATATTTTGTAGTTTTGGTCCAGTTTTCTAGGTACATCAACTGCATAAATAACTTTGTAATTCTATATAAATATATTGGATTACAAAGTTACCGTAAAAAGTTGTGAGATCCATGTAATATCAAGTTGGTTAATTTATTCAGTCCCTACTTAAGGGTCATTCTGCCAGAAGTTATTACGTAATAAGCTAACCTAACAAAATCTTATAATGACCATATCAATATTAAAAATCTTTTATGTTTTAAATACATAGATTGACTTGGCAATCGCACTAATCAATCTAGTTTAATATAATATGTATTACTTGTGAGATACATTGTGTTTTCATGCAATGGCCAAGTCAATCTATTTATTTAAAACATAAAATATTAATAATATATGTAATATTAATAAAGTCTGTAATCTCTGCCTATTCCTTTGGGTGAAAGGCCATTATGATATTTCCTCCTAATTGGATTGGAACCTAGGACGTCAGCAGTATAACGTGTGGCCTATAAGTCTGTTGATCCAAGTGTGTATATTCATGTAATATTTTAGTAAACTTGTCTACAGCGACGTATATCCTCAAGCAGCAGTGAGGAAGAGTCTTCGGAGAGCTCGTCAGAGTCTGAGAGCCAGGACGAGAAGGCCCCGAAGGCGATCGCCAATGGAACCGTGAACTCACATAAGACTGAGCATCGGAAAAAGGTGCTTCCATTAATTTCGACAACCCTATATAAACCTATATAGTTCATAGTAGCATGGTCCTTTACTGAAATGATTATTTAATAATTAGAGTTACAAACAAGCTTCCACCTGATGGTGAGTGGATGCTGTGACCCGTAGACACATATTTGAAAATCTTTATTGCAACAATCATAACAATTTATACATATATTCAATGTAACTTTAGCTTGTGTAAAAGGTTAACCTGAGTAACCGGAGCTAGTTCCTTTTTATATTTGAAAAGCTTTTGTCGTATAAAAATGAACCTACTACGCGTTCCTTTCGAGTTTGCCGTCGTCGACCGTTATGACATCACATCTGACGGTAGACGGTATCGTAGACAAAACTATTACTGTAAGTGTTTTAATTGTAAGAAGTTAGATTTTTACTTTGTTGCCCATTAATAAAGTTAAATCCCAATCCAAGCATACAACTACAAGACTTCAAGATACTGCGTAGATCGGAACAAAAATTAACAATTTTTAATGTGGAGATAGCCGTGGTTAACTATGACATTGGGACGTCAAACACCTCAGTCCCCCCCGTGACCATGGGTGCTGTAAAGTACCGAAACGTCGAGAATATAAAACAAGTTAATATACGCGATAAAATCAGTAACAAACTAGAGATCGTACGGGAGCACAAACAACGAACGACGATAAGGGCGACGCTTGAGGCGCGGTATTCCCTCATACGCGGCGGCAGGTAACGGCATTCATGAAATGAACATGTAGTACATCTATCCTCAATTAAGAATCAAAATGATAAGTCTGCCTAATAGTGACTTAAAAAAGGTTTCATAGTCCTAATTTGTCTAAAAATGAATCTAGCATCTCTAATTATCATGCACAGAATGATATACAGTAATCTCCACATGTTACAGGCACCTTGGTGTATTATTTTACTTTAACATAACTATTTACATAATTTTGAACACTGATATAAGTTGCAATTGGCATTTTGTAAATATAATAGAATGATAATGATAATGTTATTATATAATTTTGTTTCACTTTACAGAAAAACAAAAAAATTGAACAGAAAAAAGCCAATAAGATACGTAGGACCGATTCGTCGGCGGCGACGTCAGGCAAACAGACATCCGACGGTGAGTTGCCATTGATATATACATATATATAGATATTGTTGTCATTATGTTTAATAAATTACTATGTTATCTAATTTGCATATGCTACTTTGAGTAATATCTTAAAACTTAATCGATTTTGTATTTTAAGTTTCAAACCATCAATAAATCAGATTTATTTTCTTAAAATTGCTATTAAAATAATGCCGTGTAGTAGTGGTGTAAGAATATCCACTACCCCATATCATCTCGTGGGTGTCGTAAGAGGCGACAGAGGGAAACAAATCAGGAGTTGGGCAGCAGTATCTTCCTAATAAATTACTAAATAAAAAACTACAGTTGTCAAGTGTGTCAACTATGGCAAATATCCCCCTGTGAGGCAATCTATGGAGAAAAACAATTGCCATTGATGGTCTAAGTGAATCTAAAACCAAACCATGTTATCAGCATGATCAACTACATAACATGTAAAAGTCCACTGCTCGACATGGGCCATGCATGGCAAGCGGATTGGCGATAGCAGTACCAGACGTCTCACACCTGTAACTTGGTATCTTAGGTCTGATTTAAACGAGATGGTTGTTGGTTCTTTTTTTTCCGGATAAGGGTGATAAAATAGCACACAGTCCACCTGATTGTAAGTGGATCAAGATACAAACTGCAAATGTGTTGTCAACCAGAGGACTGAGATAGAATGCCTTGTTCCCAGTGAAATCGATCTCCGGTTGTCTACATTTACTGCCATTTTGCTCTAGTATTCTGTGAGAGCGTAGTACTTACCGGGTCGGATCGCCCATTTGTGTTCCAACTATAATATAGCTGCAGCGTTGCTCTTCCACATCATATAAAATACCATGAGGTCTTTTGGCATTTTGTATAGTCACCGATGAGACAAAATAATTTGATGGATTACCATGTTTTAATTTGATGATATTGTTTTGATTGATTTCTTCCAATTATTACTATTAAAAAACAATATTTTTTCAGATAACGCTCCAGCGGACGCTGAGAGTGCAGACTCTCGTACATCACAGTCAGATTCTCTAACTTCCAAGCCTGCTCCGAGCTCTGAAAATGCTATCACTTCAGATAGTTCTAGGTAAAATATATACATAAGTTTTTCTTCTTCGGTAGAGGTTGCTGGACTTGAATCTTTCTCATTATGGGAAAGATTTGTCTCATAGCCGCCGGTTTGTGTATTTACGTCTGATTTGATCGAGATGATTATAACGCCATCTACCGGAAGCCGTAAGGTCTGGCATTTCCCATACTCGCCTCTTACGACATCGACTAGAGTTTAGTCGATGTCGTAAGTCTAGTCCAGGAGTTCCCAAATTTTTAAGGTAATGGAACACTCACCAAATCCCTTTTATTTTGTGGAACCCTACATCAAATGATTACATAATTATCATTGACAGTGCAATTGAAATATTATAATATAATTCTCGCTAACTATCTACGTATCTATATCACAGTAATGGGTTATTCTCATCACATATTTTGCACCAATTCAAAATAATATTTGTACCATAGTATGAAATTATTTAACTAGCAAAAATAATTTTTTTTTTTTTTTTTTTTTATAGGATAAGGGTGACAAACGAGCACACAGTCCACCTGATGGTAAGTGGTTGCTGCGGCCCATAGACATCTACATCTATCCTCTGTTACAAATCAAAATGTAGATGCGTTGTCACCCGTGAGGACTAAGATGGAATGCCTCATTTCCAGTAAAAAGGGCCTCCGGCCACCTGCACTCACCAAGCGAAACGCAGAGGTTCTCTACTTCAGGCTGGTTTTCTGTGAGGTCGTGGTACCACCCCGGTTCGAGCCGGCCCATCCGTGCGACAGCAAAAGCTGCCGCCTGGCTCTACCACTGTTAGTAAAATAAAATAATTTCGCGAAACCCTGGTGAGTTTTCCACGGAATCCTTAGGTTCTGCGAAACCCAATTTAGGAATCCCTGATCTAGTCACTCGACGAAATTAGATTAGACATACACGAAAGCGAGTTAATAAAAAAAAAACGTAGTAAAATAACATGAATGCAAACATGAACTTTTGTAAAATAAATAAAACATAATATTTAATTATTTATAATTTTTACAGGGATGTGGAAGCAAAAGTGGAGGTGAAATTACCTCAGCCAGTGTGCCAAGTGTTGGAAGAGTTGGATGCATTCAGTCGGCAGCTACTAAATAACAAAACCCCAACTGAAGAGGTGGAAATAAAGAGTGATCCCTACATTACTAGGTGAGTGTAATTACAATTTTTGTCAATCGACAATGGGTTGATTATATCTGTCGCTGAAGTGACAACCGATGGAGTAGAGACGCCTTATTCAGTGGTTACCTCGCCTAGGCAAATTTTAGTGTGGGACGCCTCCCAACTTGTGACTAGATGGAGCGAGGACTTGAGGAAGGTGGCTAGTAGGAATTGGATGCATGATGCGATGTTTCACGCGTAGTAGAGCCATGCTGCAGCTATATTATGGATGCAGCACGAATGGGTCAACTCGACCGGGGGACCGGGGTGAGTATAGAGAATCTGAAACCGTTTTTACTGGTAACAAGGCATTCCATCTTACCCCTCAGAGGTGACAACGTATCTGCATTTAGATTTTTAATCGAGGATAGATATAGATGTCTATGGGCTGCAGCATCCACTTACCACTAGGTGGACAGTGTGCTCTCTTGTCACCCTTATTTTATATAAAAATACCAGGCCACATGCTGATGATGACGATGATCATGCTTAATAAAAAAAAGATTTTATTCCAATATGTGTATTTATATTAAAGTAATACATACATTTCCAGGTTAGAGCGTACATTATCTAAGTGTAACACATCGAGTCAAGCTCAGCGCATCGCATGGAGCAAGGCTGCGCGTATGCTTAGAGTATCCCGACATCGGCTGTTACAAAAAGCCAGGGCTCGGACACAAACAAACACGGATAATGAAACGCGTGAGTTATATTCTTGTAATTTCCGTAAATATTTAAAACAGTTTTTCTTATTAAGACAAACATTTACATATATTAGTGTTTTGTATGGTGAGTGTAGAGAACTGCTGGAAACCCTTTTTACTGGAAAAGAGGCATTCCATCTTAGTCCTCACGGGTGACAATGCATCTGCATTCTTGATTGTCTATTGAGGGTCTATGGGTCACAGCAACCACTTACCAACAGGTGGACTGTGTGCTCGTTTGTCACCCTATACTATATAAAAAAAGTGGTGATGCAACCAAAGATTTAATAAAAGCTTGAATTACTCTTGCCTTCAGGACATTCCACTCCTTTGCTGTTCGCATTATGAACGACGAAGCATACAGTTTAGTTAGAATGCGCGTAGTATATCGTAACAAAGGGGTGGAGACCAGCTGAGCAGCTAGTGACCTGATGATGGAATGGAATGGAGTTGCCATTTTATTAATATAAAATGATGTACTTAATTTCATACTATCGATGTGATTCATAATAATGTGTGTGTTATTTTGAAGAGGTTAAAAAATAAAGTTACAATAGACATATATGTCCCGCCACTGAACACTGTTTTAGGCCTCCTCTGTTTCTTTACATGTCCTTGAAAGCATTTTTTATCTAATATGTTTTCCTTCACTTAGGTGGAAGCGCCAAGGTAACCCGCGAAATTGAAACTTTCTTACGTTTTTTGCAATTTGCAGGTCAGTGCCAGGTTGTATGTTTAACAAAATATGATTCGCGACCGTAACGAGTATGTATTTACAGAATTATAATCATTCTAATCAACAATACAACTCTCTAAGTTCGTATAATTCCATTGTATGGTTATTTACAGAAAAACTCATTCAAAGGGATTATATGACCTTAGACCTTAGAGGGTTGTATTGGTGATGTACACGCCCCTAGCTGCCCCAACCAAGGATGACGGGATTAGGGCCCATGAGTAATCCCATCGACGAGCAGCAGAGGGACGGGGCCAGAATATGGCCACGTGGTAATTCCTAATTACAATAAACCAGATGGGAGGACGCTAGAAAGACATAGTACTTACCGTTATCCGAAGCTAACTTCGCACCAAGGCTTGGGCCCTAGCTAATATTGCCGAATGCACTTATGCCGATTCTGAGTCAAACACAATGTGTCCCTGGGAAGCTCTCCAGTAGGGATGCGCGTCACCAACCCTAGACCGTATATTTACTATCCGCGCTTAATTGTTCCGAGTTCCCGACAAAAATGACAGCGTGCTGTTCCAAGCACAGCTGACAGACGACTCCTTTTCGCTCGCGACCCGCGCGCCACTGGCCACGCTCGGCCGAACTTCAAACCGGTATCGCCCAGAGCCGCGCGCCCCCTAGACGTCGATTCCGATAACCAGTATTTGGCGCGAACAGGTGATTTTAATGATAATAATTCTGTAAACACATACTCGTTACGGTCGCGAATCATATTTTGTTAAATATTCAACCTGACCCTGATCTGCAAATTCCAAAAAAACGTAAGAAAATTTGAATTTCGCGGGCCACCCTGGAGCTTTCGCCTTAAGATTACAACTTATTCTTACAAGTTAAGTAAACATCGTGAGGAAATCTGTATATTAGAAAAAAATGCTTTCTAGGATATATAAGACTGTTCCATATAATAGTAAGATGTAAGTTTGACTGTATTGAGTTAAATAATCTCTTTGCCGTAAGTACCTGTCGATCCAATACCGGTATACGTTCACCGATTCGACGTATGGTTGCCACATATAATGAGACCTTCGAGCATATAGATATTTTCACATGCTCAACGGAAAGATTTCATGGTCTTTTATACAAGACACTTTTCAAATAATAATTTGCAACCTCAGTCACATTATAATACCATTGCTGACCATACTTTGACACTCATATAATACGTTCGGTACAGCTGCAGGTCTCCTAGCGTCTTAATTATCTGTCTCAAGATGTAATCTGCGAACAGCACTGTGGGCTGCATTATTGCGTATATTAATGTTACTGTACTATCTGTATGTAATATATATATAGAGCATATAGAGAGCTGAAATTTTGCATACATGTTTTAATTTAAAACAATTATTATAACAACAACAGTTATAACAATAGTTTTTTACTTATTGTTCCAGCAACTACTGCCTCAACTACTCAAGCTAGCATTGTTAACACGGTAACAACAACACCGCCTACAACAAACACAACAACAAATACGACATCAACAACAAACACAACAACTACAACAAACACGACAACGGCAACTGTCGCGACAATAAACTCAACAACACAGAGCAACAAGCGCAAGGTTGATGAAGATGCAGAAGATTTGGACATCAGCAGGTTGACCACTGAGGAGAAGGAAGCAAAAATTGTTGATACACTCCGAAGGTAAGATTTATACCTAATGTATAAATATAACATAATGACTCCTTATTTTTGTGTAATTATTTACAATTGAATAAACTTGAATTTTAGCTTACCTAGAATAGGTAGACCATATAAACTGTGACATCATGATTCATCAAACATTTTTTTATATAGGATAGGGTGACAAACGAGCACACAGTCCACCTGATGGTAAGTGGTTGCTGTGGCCCATAGACGTCTACATCTATCCTCGTTTTCGAATCGTAATGCAGATGCGTTGTTACCCGTGAGGACTAAGATGGAATGCCTCTTTTCCAGTAAAAAGGGTCTCCGGTTCTCTACACTCATCATACGAAACACAGCAGTGTGAAGCTGCTATTTTACGCTGATATTCTGTGAGAGCTTGGTCCTTCCCCGGTCGAGCCGACCCATTCGTGCTACAACTATACCAATAATATATTATTGCAGCATGGCTCTACCACGTATTATATTAAATATCTCTTGAATTAGTTTTATTCAATTTAGTATTCAACAAATTGAATATAATATGCTAATAGTAAAACTTGACGGTTCCGTGGTGTAGTGGCTTAGCAATGAGATACAACGCTAACGGCCGCGGGTTTGAATCCCACACGGAACAAATATTTGTATGGCCTACAAGTAATTTTTCCGGGTCTGGCGATACAGGAGAAAATCCTAGTGTGTATGTAACTTTTTTTTAAATAAAATAAAAAACTATTGTTTCTATCGATTTGTTGAAGTTCTTTATTTTAACTTTTTAATCATGAACTAAGGTGATTACAAATTATTCATGATTCGCGTATGTGGAACCTTGTTCAGATCGTGTATTTGAAAATTTTCGCATCTTTAACTGTACAGGCTGTTCGTTTATGGAGTGAACTCTCATTGGTAGTAAAATGTACACCATCCCTCCCAGTACTTAAAAAAAAAAATGACACGGCCGTGTGTTTTATGTGAATACGTGTACGTAACGAAACGACCTCAAAATGGCGGAGCTCGTCCCTCCACGCAATACGTCACACTCCTCACTAAACGTAACGAGTTTAGTGCTCCTTTAGCTATCGAATGGTGTACATAATTAAATTTTTGGGGTAATGGTATAAAATGGTAGATATGTAGCTGCAACAGCAAACTGTATCCCCGGTTTTTTGTCTATTATTTTCAGTTTTCTGAATTTCCTCCCGCTTTGGAAGCAAATATAAAGACGTATTTACGTCAAAAATTTTCAAATATTTACCATTACTTTGCTCGTTTAAAATGTAACTTCGTTAATATTTTATTTCTTTAATGTCACACTGAGTCACCTTTACCACTTTCATTCTTAATGATGTCAAGTAACCTATCTTGAAGAAGGAGAATATGCAAAGATGTTACATTTTTGTATGTGTCTCCAGCTTCAATGTAAACACCCCCAGGGGAAACCATGGATAATAATCAGTAAATAAATTCAACTAACCATTTGTTTATATCGTGGAGTATTTTAAATGCACAAAAAATCTTTAAAACCCAGGTTATTATGAATGCTTTGTTCTGATAGTGCACTCTACAAAAGCATAATAAAAAACTATTAATACATTTTTATGTTTGACACCTTACCTTAGCTCGTAAAAAGTTAAAAAAAAATTGTACTATGATATAATATTTATACAATGATTCATATGATCTCTGAGGTATTCTTTGCAGTCACCTTTGGGTGATGTAGAGATAAAATGAATAATTTCTAAGTACCTAACTGATAATAGTTGAAAAAGAGGATAAGGATAAATGCTGTGGCATTTTTCTCTCTTGTTTGTAATGCTACAGACTTAAGAGTAGAAAAACATGGAACATCTTCTTTGTAGAGTTTTAAAAGTAATAAAAATAGCAGAACGTCAATATAAATATATTTATGATGGTGTCTTTTTCAGGTTGAAAGCTTTAATAGACGAGCGAAAGCCAGGTATGATGGCCAGCTATAATGCAGAGTGTGAGAGGGTTCAAGAAGAAAGGTAAGTGGCACATAGTTAAAATATTTCAGTAAAATCAGTCAAAATCAGCATAGAAACTCAACTATTTGTCAATATTTAAAAAAGCTATTCCGCAGAAAAAGTAACAGGGACTAGGCAATTTATTATTTTGGTTAATGTTATGTTTTTCAAAAAAAAAAACAAAATAACAAATAATCAATATTAAATAATTATTGTAATCAATATGTCATAGATTTACATATTGTTTATAACATGTTTTGGAGTTATCTACAGAAATCACAGACAACGTTAATAAAAGATTTACTTACCAGATGTTTCATTATATAACCTCTTAAAAAGATAAATATACAATGATATACATGCCAAGAAGTATAAATCATGGATATTTTAGCCTGGTCAAGTTAGCTCAAAAAATTGGGGTAATATTATAATAATTCGCATAGAGCCAAAAATAAGTACGAATGTTAGGGACACCATTATAAATGAAATGTGAAAAGTCACCATCGTTCCTACATCTGCAAAAAAATTCAAGATCAATTCAAGGAAAGGTATAAGTTTTTCTGGCATTAAAATTTTGTCTGAGTGTTTTTCTTGCACAATCGCGTTTACTTGAGACGTTAAATATCCGTACTGGCGACGGACAGCAAAGCTCAAGATGCGGGACGTCTGATACATCTTCCTTACAATGGGGGAGACCCATGTCAGGTAGTGGTTCTATGGAATATAATTATATCTATGGAATATATTATATGGACCGATATAGTACAAAATAAGACTTGATATATGCCATTCCAGAAATCGGTGTTTGTGAATTTACTTTCAAATAATTTATTACACATAGAAGATACCAACTCCAATTATGGAAGAACTTAAACTGTCTAACTCGTATTTTTTTTTACAGAAAAAAGATTCAAATCGCTTCACGGTCAGAAGGTGCACCAGTGGTAGAGAAACGGCTGCCAAAACGGCGGTTCCCTTGGTGTACCCGCAGCAGATCACTCCTGGCGCGGTTGGCGAGACTGGGTGGCCAAGACGCCCCGGACCTACTGGCGCGTAGGGCTTTACCCCTCTTTCCTAAGGGCTTTGTGAGGATGCCCACCCTACTGCGACAGGCTGAGTGAGTGTAAAGATTAAACCACAGTCTATAATGTCAAATTATATTACAGTCTTCTATTGCAACAAAGTGTCATTACTTACAAATTAATAAAATTCAAATCCTGTAATTAACAGATTATAATTTATTTATTGTAGTATGGTGGCGGTGTAATTCACTAGTTCATTTTGTCCGGTGGATGTTGTAGGAAGCGACTATGGGAAACCATAGAAAGAGTAACATATTTACACCAGCAACAGGGCGGTCAGAGGTGTGAGACATCTGGTACTGAAGTTGTCAATCCGCCGGCCAATTGTGCCAATTAAGACTGGGTGCTGGCTCACTATGGGTGAACTTTTGCGTGCTGCTGAAGAAGTATAATTTATTTGAGGTTTAATTAATGGTTTTAATGTACGTTTTTCATAAAATACATGCGGTTTCTGCACTAGATTACCACTCAATGTAAATATAGTATAATTCTTACTGCAGATTGTTTTTACAAATGAACATAAAATAGCTTGATAATAAATTTAAAACTAACAAGCTGCTTATAAGATTGTTTTAGAATATTTAACTTAACTGAAGTTGTAATAAATTTTGTGATTATGTATATAATAATTACATTATAAATATGAAATTTTAAAAACACGATTTTTTTATGTCTACATAACACTACATAATGACATAGTATTTGCACTATTCTGGTGTTATTAAAATGATGTTATTTCTTTTTTCAGTATCAGTAAAGAAATGAAGGCAGCAGAAGCAAAGCGGCAACGAATCAACTCAATGTCGCAACCTGCAGTCATCAATCCACAGCCTGTTCAACCGTTCACTGAACAGATACAATTCCCCAGCTCTCTTACAGTCACCACAAGTGTTAAAACAACGGAAAAACATGAAACCGAGGACAAGGACTCGAAATATAAAATCAATCCTGCAGTATTTGGCTCCATTATTAATAGTTATTCCTTAAATAATGATTTAATAGTTGAGAAAGCAGACGACAAAAAAAAGGAAGCTGTGGATAAAAGTAAAGAAGACTTGTACATTCCTCCAAACAATATTGGCAGTATAACAATTACGCCTGTGGTTAACCCACCTAAACCCGAGAAAAAAATTAACAATGTTACTATAACTGAAAAACAGAAAGAACCATTATTAAGAGTGAAATCTCCCGCGGCTTTGAACGAAATGGTCAATAAAAAGGAAAAAGATAAACATAAAAAACCAGACAAACCGCCAAAGGAAAAGAGAGTAGAATCCCCACTCCAAATAGACACCAGTTACCAATTAAATAAGAAAGAACCAACACCTAGTCCAAAATTAAAAGATGAGATCAGTCAGAAGCAAATAGAAAGTATGAGAACAGCAGAGGACAATCTGCCAAGGCCTGCATTAGTTCCCGTCCATCATTCTCCCACGTTTGCCAAACCTGATAAAAGACCTCCCGAGGTGAAAAAGAAGAAAGATGTTGTGATAATTTCCGATATGGACCCATTAGGGGATGTTCAACAGGAACCTTTAGCAGTGGACGATAGTAGCAGTGATGTAGAGGTTATTGAAGAGAAAAATATTGACAAAAGTGAACGGAAGTGTGAAAGCAAGAACAATACAGTGCCTTTGAAAGACAAAGTGAGTGTGAAGGATGTGCAAAAAAAAGTGAATAGTGTTAAACATAAAGACTCAAGTACAAGTAAAGAGGGTAAAGAGTGCTCACGAAGGAATGATTCTCTGGAGGAGTCAACAAATGAAGACATAGATACGCTTATGAGAAATATTATGGCTATGGAGGTAAGATTGCATATATTGGTTAATACTAACTATGCCCAGCATACATTACAACACCTAAATATATTTGCATGCTAAAATAAATGCAAATGCTAACTAATCCAAAACTTTCAAGTCGGGTTCTCCAATTCACTAGGGATCCACATTCATTCCAATACAGTTTATAAAAGTCTGGTGAACATAAATTATTCAACAGATTAGCTCATAGCAGGTTTTTGCCATAGCTGCAACGCTTGGCAGGCAGGTTGGCAACTGCAGTTTTTTATTATTTTGATTTGTTATCAGATAAGATAATAATTAAGTGCTCAGTTAGTGCAAGCACATTGAGAAATAAGCACTAAATATAATTTTATTTTCATATACTCCGTATACTGCCACTTTGAGAGATTCAGAAAAGTATGTGATCCCAAATTGACATCCAGGTGGGTTATCACCTAGTGATATAGGATCATAATTCACTGCTCATTTAGTGCTGTTGATATACAAAAAGGATTTTGGAAATTATTTTTTTAAATACTGTAAACTGCTACTTTTACGTTGTGGCGGCGTTGTCGTCGCGCCACAAGCGAAACACATCGAATTCTAAATCGCACTAACTAAGTTCCGAAGTTAAAGTAGCATAATAGCTCCGAACTACCAATTGGAGCGCTGGCCGCTCCCCGGGCAGAATACCTTGCCCGACGGGAGATCTCCCCTTTACCTGCCACCACCACAACGTCGTTAGCAGAGTATGTACTGAAAAAGTTGACATTGAAGTGGGTTATAACTTATTAATATAAGATAACAATTGAGCGCTAATTAGTGCTCTCCATACATAAAAACAGGTATATTTAATATATTTCTTTTCTTATTTACAAATACCGCAAATTTCTACTTCGACAGTTTTAGCAGAGCTCAAAGGTAGAAAATTAAATAATCAAAAATGGATGCTATTTAATGATGCAATTCAAGGAGTTACTTTCTCGATTGAATAGTATTTTAAAAAAATATAAAATAAAAATCCAATCCATGTATATTATTATTTTATATTATTTTTTTCCTCGTGTTGGCTCTCCATGCAAAATTGGACATTTTTTCGTATCCGTCGAAAAACCGTTCCTCTTATCTGTTTTAAAGATTGTTTAATTTTCAAGCAAATCGCTTTTTTTGGTTATTTGGTTATAACTTCTTTAATAATGGTTCAACCGGAATTTTTCATTTTCAAAATCCTTATATTTTTTAAGTACCTCAAAAAAAAATACAAAAATATTATTCAGTGTTCAAAAATGTAATTTCTTAGTTTTAAACTTAAAACGTTTTCTTTCAAAGTGAGAATTTTTTTAGTTTTGCACGACTCATAATGCGGAAGTATAGAGAGTGATACTGACATAGATGACAATAGAAAAAAAAACCCTCCTTTTTGTTCGCAACTATTTTTATTGTTAAACTCTTGTTAGTTCCTGATACCAACATTATTTATATACCATTCTACAGATAATTTATTGGAGATTAATTCTGTAACTTTCAACAATCGATTTTGTGTAATAGAAATAAAAAAAAGACCATCAAGATAGGTTTAAATGTTTTTCCTATCACTCAATGAAATAATGTTTCAGCTTGAAAACACGGTAACTTAAGAATAAGCCCTTCGTTTAAGATACTTGTTTTTAATTGACTCGTCTTGAGTTTAAAGAATTTGGGATCTAAAATGGCCTTTTAACTCTGTGTCGTTTAATTATAATTAATGAAAAACAAAACTTGGACTTTTTCATTTACTAATGAAATGCATTTAAAAAATCCAACGTAAATTTTAAAATACTTATCATACAAAAAAATTAGGGGTTCATCTAACTCTTGGCGTAGATCACTATGAACTTTCTAATAATGCCATCCTGCTCACACAATGAGAATAGTTGTAACTATATTATTTGTTAACGGCATGTGTAGAAACTACATTTATTGTATGCAGTTTCTAACCCTCTTACCATTTCACATTTCGTCCTGTAATACAAGGTCTACAAACTTTTTCTATGTGCCTATGGCTAAAACGATTTAGGCACAGGCTTTGCCGCTCTACAGACTAACCACTATATGTAACTCCATGTTAAATAATTCTGATTGTCTTCTTCATTTAATGGGATACAATCAACCAGTCACAGTCTGCTTCACTGCATACATACTAGTACTAGCTGTTCACCGCGACTTCGCCTGCGTGTAATTTAGGGTTTTAATAATGTTGCGCGGAACCCTAATTCTTTTTCTAAAATATAAGTAGCCTAAGTTACTCCTTATAACATCAGCTATCTGCCAGTGAAAGTCCCGTCGAAATTGGTTCAGCCGTTTCGGAGATAAGCCGGAACAAACAGACAGACAGTCGAAAATTTTAAATATTGTGTTTTTGTTATAAGTACGTATATACTTTCATTTGCATTTAGTAAAAAGCTATTATTTTAATATTACAAACATACTTTCATTTGCATTTAGTAAAAAGCTATTATTTTAATATTACAAACAGACACCTCAATTTTATTTATTTGTATAGATTACTTTGTCAAGATCACTAAGGTAAAGGGGACCCAGTTATTGACCGTGGTCCAGTTTCTGACACTTTCAGCTTTAATTGAAATAAAATGTGGTGGACCCTTTCAGCTTTTACGTGGTAGAGCCATGCTGCGGCTATATTACTGGTATAGTTGTAACACGAATGGGTCCGCTCGATCTGGGAAGGACCACGCTCTCACAGAATACCAGCGTAAAATAGCAGCTTAACGCGGCTGTGTTTCGTATGGTGAGTGTAGAGAACCGGAGACCCTTTTTACTGGAAAAGAGGCATTCCTTCTTAGTCCTCACGGGTGACAACGCATCTGCATTTTGATTCGTAATCGAGGATAGATGCAGATGTCTATGGGCCACAGCAACCACTTACCATCAGGTGGACTGTGTGCTCGTTTGTCACCCTTATCCTAATTTAAAAAAATGACTCAAATAATGAAATAAATTTTACGAGAATATAAAGTAATATATTCTATGCCTAATTAATAGCAATTACGAATTTATCAACAAATCTGGATAAATGGATAAGAAAATCTTAAATATTGAAGACTGAGAGAGTAATTTTTCACTTGTAGTTTAAGTATGTTGTGTAAGAGTGTATCAAGTCTGAATCGAAAGCTTTTTTGTTATATAGCTATAAAAATGAGATAATACACACATGGACAGCAGGACAGTTAATTAAAGTATAGTTAGTCTAGTAGTGGGTACTAATTTTTTTTTTCAATTTCTTGCTAAAATATGGAGGTCAATAACTGGGCCCAATTTCTTACGCATGTTGCAGTTGTTGACTCTAAGATTCTAACCAATTACAAAGAAGATCATTTGTGTATTGTTATATTGATAAGGTGCTGGAGAGCCATCCTAATCTCGCTCAGACTGACATCCGGGATATCTTCGGAATAGTGTCGGATGAGACTCGCTCTTGGATCGTTACTCACACTTGCGTGTGGCTCCAACGATGATGTGTACAGCTGCCCATAGAACCTCTCAATCTCATTCAAAATCTCAGGTGTCCCGGAAACGATGCTGTCACATTCTGTCTTCAGCTTTGACAGTTGGCTCTTTCTGGCAGACAGATCTCTGGCAAAGACTTTGGAGCCTTGGTTCCGCTCGATCGCTTCTTCAATACGAGCTGTATTGAAGTTGCGTAAGTCCCGCCGCATGCATTTGGAGATCTGTCTGTTCAGATGCCTGTATGCTGTCAAGTCTGTTGAAGAATGTAGCTTCATCTCCCGTCTAACAGCCATGAAATTAAGAGTGTGATCGGAGAGTTTTTGTGTTCTTCTGCGGCGGGTCTTGCAGAATTTAGCTCCGACCGCATGGACAGTTTCCACGAGCTTGTCATTCATATCGTCCACTTCATTGCAGTCTTCCAGGCACTGAAAACGGTTTTGTAACTCGAGCTGAAAGACTTTGAGCGAGATCAGGATGGCTCTCCAGCACCTTAAAAACGGTAAGGCCCCAGGCGAGGATGGAATTACAGCGGAGCTTCTGAAAGCGGGTGGAAGACCGGTACTTGAAGTCCTTCAGAAGCTCTTTAATTCCGTCCTGCATGGTGGCATTACACCGGAGGCGTGGAGCAGAAGTGCGGTGGTCTTGTTCTTCAAGAAAGGTGACAACGCTCTCTTGAAGAACTACAGACCGATTTCCCTTCTGAGCCGCGTCTACGTGCTGTTTTCGAGAGTCATTACGAATCGTCTCGCGCGCAGACTTGACGACTTCCAGCCTCCCGAACAAGCCGGTTTCCGAAAGGGCTTTAGCACCATAGACCACATACATACCCTTCGGCAAGTTGTACAGAAGTCCGAAGAGTACAATTTGCCACTATGTCTGGCGTATGTGGACTATGAGAAAGCCTTTGATTCCGTCGAAATTTGGGCGGTGCTGCAGTCCCTTCAGCGGTGCCAAGTTGACTGTCGGTATATCGAAGTGTTGAAGTGCTTGTACAGTAGGGCTGCGATGGCTATCCGAGTACAGAACCAGAGTACGAAACTTATCCAATTGCAGAGAGGTGTAAGACAGGGTGACGTCATATCCCCGAAACTCTTCACCGCTGCATTGGAAGACGTTTTCAAGCTTCTGGACTGGAAAGGATACGGTATCAACATCAATGGCGAGTACATCACTCACCTTCGATTTGCCGACGATATAGTCCTTATGGCAGAATCGCTGGAGGACTTAAGCACTATGCTCAATGACCTCAATAGTGTTTCCCAACGGATAGGTCTTAAGATGAACATGGACAAAACAAAGATCATGTTTAATGTCCATGTCACACCTATGCCGGTAGTTGTTGGGAGCACTAAGCTCGAAGTTGTTGACGAGTATGTTTACCTGGGACAAATAGTCCGACTAGGTAAGTCCAACTTCGACCGAGAGGTCAATAGACGGATTCAACTCGGCTGGGCAGCGTTCGGGAAGCTACGACACATCTTCTCGTCAGACATACCTCAAAACCTTAAAACGAAATTGTACAACCAGTGCGTGTTGCCAGTGATGACTTACGGAACTGAGACGTGGTCCTTCACTGCTGGCCGTATGAGGAAGCTCAAGGTCGCTCAGCGAGCTATGGAGAGGGCTATGCTCGGAGTTTCTCTGCGTGATAAACTTAGGAATGAGGATATCCGCAGTAGAACTAGAGTGACCGACATAGCCCAACGGATTAGTAAGCTGAAGTGGCAGTGGGCCGGCCATATAGCTCGAAGAACCGACAACCGATGGGGAAGAAAGGTTCTCGAGTGGCAGCCTCGTACCGGTAGGCGAAGTGTAGGGCGTCCCCCCACGAGATGGAGTGACGATCTGGTAAGACATGCAGGAAGTCGATGGATGCAGGTGGCTCAGGACCGTGCTTTGTGGCATTCTTTGGGGGAGGCCTATGTTCAGCAGTGGACTTGTGAAGGGCTGTAATGATATTGATAAAACGTCAAAAGGTAAAAGTTTATTGTATTATTGATTGCTTCTTTTTTTATTATTTTCTCATAAAAATATTTCAAATCTTATTGAACCTTTATTATAATGGAACAATTTTATATTTGTCATTATAGAAAAAACCCAAATGAACATTCCAGCTTTATAGACATTAAAAAGTATCTATTTGAGGATTTTTTTATAGGATAAGGGTGACAATATCTTAAGTCTGTCAATACACACTAGGGTGCACAGTTCCCAGTTGCTTTTTCTTTTTAATTTTAATTTATGGCTCCTCTTGATATGATTCTGCCAGTGACATGTTTTTGTGATTTCGAAATTTACAACAAAAGACATAAAATTTTTAGTGACCATTACCAAAATTAATTTATAATTTACAACATAATATATTATTATATACATATATTATTAGTGCAAATAAAATTACACAAAATATTTACAAAAGAAGTAAACATCAAGAACAACAAATATGGGAGTTTTACACAATGTGGTATGATATTGTGCAGGATATCCTAGAGAATATAAGATTTTAGGGCATTTGAAGTATAGATCCGTCTAATCTGAAGTACAACATATTAAGGCTACCTAAAAGTAATGCATATGGAACCTTTGTGGAAATAACATAATAATGATTGAAAAAAATAATATTGAATTTTATGAATATTGGAAATACCTTATATGATACTTTAAATTTTCTACTAGGTACTGAAAGATCAATATTATGTGATTTCAGCACTCCCAAGAGCCTGCAAAGTTAAACTGCAATTCATACGGGGGAGTCATTACCAGTGGTAAGTTAGCAACAGCTAAAGTTATTTTTTTAATTTATATTTTTTATATATATATCAACATATTACATACACAATAATATACACAACATATTAGTCGACCAAGCCAAGTAGACGACGTCGAACGTGACGTCACCCAGTGCCGTATTTGATTAGTTATTAATGTTTTATTAAGAGATAAATATTTGTAAAGTGAATAAATAATATTCTAGAGTTGTAGGGAGCAAATGCATACAAAACCAAAATCAATAAATGACTTATAGTCTGAGAGCTGGCGACGAATTTTGGGAAGGTCCTTTAGGCAAGTTGAAATTGTGAAAAAATATTATATTATATTTTTTCACAATTTCAACGGTTATAAAGTATTACCAGACCTCTCCAAAAATATTTTTTTTAAATTCCCAAAAAATCACAATTTCTACTTGCCAAAAGGACCTTCCCAAAATTCGTCGCCAGCTCTCAGACTATTATTTATATCAACTATGGGAAAATATTCCCTATTAGGCAATCTGGATGGAGGAGGCCTATGTTCATCAGTGGACCTGTATAAGCTATAATGAATGGATGAATGGAATCTGTGTAATATTGAGTAGTTATTAGTAAATTAGTAAATTTTTACGACAATACAAAAATTATAATGTATTATGAAGACACGTATTGTTACGTGATACTTGATTCGGGCGAGCGGGTGAGGGGGGCATTCCAGTCGTGTGTCTAGTTTGCTTCGTCGGCTAGTACAGTTTTCATTACAATATAATTTCTTCTAATACAACAAATTAGAACTAGACTACTCTTTGAATACTCTAATAAGACTACTTAAGTATTTAAAGATGCAATATGAAACTTTAACATTAAGTTCTATTTATTTGATTTGTAGATTAAAATTGTGCACATTGTATTTTATCTTTAAATATACTAAATATTATTCAGCTTGCTTGAATAGAATAGAATAGAATATTTATATTCAATATGCATTTTATATGATTATTATTGAAAGACAAAAAAAGTCATATAAGAAACAGCTTGAAAATCATTTCACGTGATGTATTCATTTTTATGATAATAACACTTTATAGTCTTTGTAGACCTCTTGTATTCTGGGACTTTGCATGAATGAATTACTGATTCTGTGGAGTCAAGTAACTGGTATTGTTCCATGTGTGCTTGTGTTTGTTTCATGTGTTTACAGGATGTATTTCACTTTTTTCATTAAAGCTTTTTTTGATTTTGTGAACAATCATTAAATTTTCGTGAATATACTGAGAAGCCAGAGGTAAAACATTTATATCTTTAAATTTTCTCTAAAAACCTCTCTTGGTTTTAGGTTATAAATGGCTTTTATGGTCCTGCAAAACAAAATTAGTGATAAGGATAGGTGCAAAAATAAAAAATTAGCTTCCTTGTTACTTGCGGGATATTTTAAACTCGTGTTAGCTAATTGGACCGTGTTGTGCAGTTATGTTTCAACGCACATAAAACTAAAGTTCTTTAGATTTGAAAGATGAAATGCATTTTTCTTGTGGAAAAAAATTAAATGTAGATTTTAGAATTACTTGTTATATTTCTGATGTGTTTCACACTTGGAAATAAACAGAAAAAAGAACCACTTGATCATTATTTTGGCCAATACTAGATTGAATCATTTCTGCACAATACATTCAGTACAAATATGGTAGTTACGAGCTAAGGGGCTTTCCATTAAATACTTACGCAAAAAGGAGACAAGTGTTAAGGCTTAGCCTTAGATGATGTGTCGAGGAAGAGGAGACAGACCTTATGAACATGATGTAAGGAAGTAAACACATGTATTTGATTTTTTATTTATTGAATTAAATCAACTAATCTTTTATTTGGGATGGTGGGAAAGGTTTTGTGACGTATTTTTAGGTAGTATTTTTAGGTTTTGCTCCCCGCTGACACCAATGAAATTGTTAATTGCAATTTTAAGTGCTATCTTACTAATATCCTGAGGGAACCTAAAACATTTCGAACATGTGATGAATACAATATAACGGAATAGAATTGAATCATTTTTATTCAGTATTGATGATTACATAATACTAATTGAAAGTAATTTGTTTTATTTACTACTGGTTCGGAAGATGCCTCTGTCCTGGGATTAACCAGAAAGAAACCCAGTGGGATTATATTTTTTAAACATATATGACTTTACAATAATTTGTATTTGTACAATTCCGTCAACACATACTAGTGCAGCGCAGTGGACAAATTACTCTATAACCCTCTCGGAACTGAGAGAAAGGCCAGCAGTGAGACATATAGGCTGTAACTTTACTTTAAATATTAGTTGAAGTATTAAAAAAAAAAACTTTTCAACGAAACAGGGAAACCGTTGTTTCGTTGTGTGAATTTTGCGTAAGGTATTTATGGATGGCCCTATAAGGGACTATTACATATTGTCATGTTAATTTGTGGAATGAAAACACATGTTGCATGTTTTTAGATATGGTTTATAGATAATGTCATTAAACATTTCATAAAGCGATGCATAGACATAATATGTTAGCATAAAGGAATCCTTATACTTGTATTGAAACAGATACTTTTGTATCGATACAGACTCAACTTTGGCTTTCGTAAGATTTCGTGCTACGTCCATGTACCGACACTTAAAATATACATAAAGATATGTAAAGATCGTCTAATGTAAAACTGCCTCTCTTGTATTTTTGGTAGGTTTTGTCACATTTACTATATTAGATATTATAAAATTTAATTATGCGCGCCCTATCTATTGTGTTTTAGAATATTGTAGAATTTTTACTGTATTTTTAGTTATGAAATCTACTAAAAAGATGGACAGGCGGGTGCAGTTTCAAATTAGACATTAGTTTTCAATTAAACTTCCATATCTATTAAAAGTAACGCCATTCATTTTTAGAGAAATGCAAAAAATTTAAGCTGACATTTCTTTTTTAAATGTTTGCTTTTATATGTATCGATACACAAAGTATAAATGACACTAACACTGGTTTCTGTCGACCAGCAAAACACGAGAAGTCTTCCAACCAAAACTACAACGCAAGGAATGCTATATTCGTGGAGCCACGTAGTGAGAAAGATAAATTGTAAGTGAATGGACATGGTCGATGGCCAATATGTGCTAATTAATGTTCCTGCGGCTTTGGTCACCTTATAGTTTGCAGTGGGCGATTATGAATGATTCTAACCATAAATAACACAAAATTCTTCTTGCAATTAAACACATCTTTGCCTTGCCACAATTAAAAGACCTTACAGTTGGGAAACAAATGAACTTGTGTAGAGGCCCTTTTTACTGGAAATGAGGCATTCCATCTTTGTCCTCACGGGTGACAACGCATCTACATATTGATTTGTAATAGAGGATAGATGTAGATGTCTATGGGCCACAGCAACCACTTAACATCAGGTGGACTGTGTGCTCGTTTGTCACCCTTATCCTATAAAAAAAAGCAACGGTGGGGCCCTTGATAGACAGGGGGCGGGCTGACCTTGTGCCAGCGCACTTCACTGAGTCTGCTATACAATACATGCGGTTAGCGCGAGCGTGTTTCATAGTACTTATTTAACTATTTTTAAGTGCCATTTTCTACTAAGTGCAATTACTGTTATAAGTTATATGAGTTACTAAGTAAAGTTGAATTCAAATGACGGCCATACTTATGTTTCCCTCATTTTTTTGATAATTTTTTATCCGAATGCGAACACTTACACGATTAAATTTAACAATCGAAAACTGAAAACCTCTATAAAAAGAAAGTGTCACGAAAATATTTGGCAGTGCAACACTTGTAAATGTGTTTTTTCTTGTAGTAATAAAAATTACCCTGTTCAATAAATTTTTTTAACTTATTGAACTTGTAAATTAGCAGCATAATTATTTGTTTTGTTTGGTAGTGATTAAAAATTTGGTTTATCTTTTTATCTGTACTGATAATGAGGCATTCCATCTTAGTTCTCCAGGATGATGAAAATATATATAGTGATATAATGTAGATATAGAGATGGAGAGATACATGTGTAGATTTTGATGTAGATTTTTAAACATGGACTACCATGTTATAACTATATTATGGTTGTAGAACAAATTAGTTGTCTCTCAACATGGAAAGGACCACACACTCTCAGAGAGTACCAGCATAAAATGTGTAGTGCTGTTTCCTGTGGTGTGTACAAAGAACTGGAACTCCTTTTTCATTGATAATATCAGCATAAAATTGCAGCTTAATGTTGCTTGTATTTCGTATGGTGTGTGTAAAGAACTGGAACTCCTTTTTTACTGATAACTAGGCATTCTATCTCAGTCCTCAGGGGTGACCACGCATCTTAAAATCGTAAAAAATTTAAAAATAAAGACATTGAGAGGGAACAAAAGGAGTATTACTACAAGGTTGGTAGGAATTCTTTCACGCTTGCGAGTTCCGGGTAAGAGAGTAGGTAGTCATCATCATCATCATTACAGCCCTTCACAAGTCCACTGCTGAACACAGGCCTCCCCCAAGGAATGCCACAAAGCACGGTCCTGAGCCACCTGCATCCATCGACTTCCTGCATGTCTTACCAGGTCGTCACTCCATCTCGTAGGGGGTCTCCCTACACTTCACCTACCGGTACGAGGCTGGTTCTACTGCGGATATCCTCATTTCTAAGTTTATCACGCAAAGACACCCCGAGCATAGCCCTCTCCATAGCTCGCTGAGCGACCTTGAGCTTCCTCATACGGCGAGCAGTGAAGGACCACGTGTCAGATCTGTAAGTCATCACTGGCAACACGCACTGGTTGTACAATTTCGTTTTCAGGTTTTGAGGTATGTCTAACGAGAAAATGTGTCGTAGTTTCCCGAAGGTTGCCTAGCCGAGTTGAATCCCTCGATTGACCTCTCGGTCGAAGTTGGACTTACGTAGTCGGACTATTTGTCCCAGATAAACATACTCGTCATCAACTTCGAGCTTAGTGCTCCCAACAACTACCGACATAGGTGTGACATGGACGTTAAACATGATTTTTGTTTTGTCAATGTTCATCTTAAGACCTATCCGTTGGGAAACACTATTGAGGACATTGAGCATAGTGCTTAGGTCCTCCAGCAATTCTGCCATAAGGAATATATCGTCAGCAAATCGGAGGTGAGTGATGTACTCGCCATTGATGTTAATACCGTATCCTTACCAGTCCAGTAGCTTGAAAACGTCTTCCAATGCAGCGGTGAAGAGTTTCGGGGATATAACGTCACCCTGTCTTACACCTCACTGCAGTTGGATAGGTTTCGTACTCTGATTCTGTACTCGGATAGCCATCGTAGCTCTACTGTACAAACACTTCAGCACCTCGATATACCGACAGTCAACTTGGCACCGCTGAAGGGACTGCCGCATCGCCCAAATTTCGACGGAATCAAAGGCTTTCTCATAGTCCACATACGCAAGGCAAAGTGGCAGATTATACTCCTCTGCCTTCTGTACAATCTGTCGCAGGGTATGTATGTGGTCCATGGTACTAAAGCCTTTTCGGAAACCGGCTTGTTCGGGAGGCTGGAAGTCGTCAAGTCTGCGTGCGAGACGATTCGTAATGACTCTCGTAAAAAGCACGTAGACGCAGCTCAAAAGGGAAATCGGTCTGTAGTTCTTCAAGAGAGCGTTGTCGCCTTTCTTGAAGAACAAGACTACCGCACTTCTGCTCCACGCCTCCGGTGTAATGCCACCATGGAGGACGGAATTAAAGAGCTTCTGGAGGACTTCAAGTACCGGTTCTCCACCCGCTTTCAAAAGCTCCGCTGTAATTCCATCCTCGCCCGGGGACTTGCCGTTTTTAAGGTGCTGGAGAACCATTCTAATCTCGCCCAGACTGACGTCCGGGATATCTTCGGAATAGTGTCGGATAAGACTCGCTCTTGGATCGTTACTCACACTTGCGTGTGGCTCCAACGATGACGTGTACAGCTGCTCATAGAACCTCTCAATCTCACTCAAAATCTCAGGTGTCCCGGAAACAATGCTGCCACACTCGGTCTTCAGCTTTGACAGTTGGCTCTTTCTGGCAGACAGATCTCTGGCAAAGACTTTGGAGCCTTGGTTCCGCTCGATCGCTTCTTCAATACAAGCTGTATTGAAGTTGCGTAAGTCCCGGCGCATGCATTTGGAGATCTGTCTGCTCAGTTGCCTGTATGCTGTCAAATCTGTTGAAGAATGTAGCTTCATCTCCCGTCTAACAACCATGAGATTAAGAGTGTGACCGGAGAGTTTTTGTGTTCTTCTGCGGCGGGTCTTGCAGAACTTAGCTCCGACCGCATGGACAGTTTCCACGAGCTTGTCATTAATATCGTCCACTTCATTGCAGTCTTCTAGGCACTGAAAACGGTTTTGTAACTCGAGCTGAAAGGTTTCGGGACTTTGAAACAGAGCACGAGGTGGACGGAGAGTTGACTTCATTAGACGAGACCTCTCCAACTTAACGTTTAGGTTCAGTGTGCCTCTAACTATTCGGTGATCGCTACCAGTTTTCACATCACTGAACAGTTGTCGTCTGGTCGTCATAATGAAGTCAATCTCATTTTTTGTCGAACCGTCGGGTCTCCACCAGGTCCACTTCCTGTGGGGCCGCTTCTGGAAGAAAGAGTTCATCATAAAGAGTCCCTCTTTCTCCATGAAGTCGGCCAGCTGCTGGCCCCTTGGGTTCCGTTGCCCTATTCCAAATTTCCCTACTTTCAGCTCACCATTCTCTCTTGTGCCTAGTTTTGCATTGAAGTCTCCCATTAACACCGTATAGTGGGTTTTGGAGGAATGCATGGCTCTAGAGATATCCTCATACATTTCCTCCACCTCCTCATCGGGATGTGCCGATAACTAACTGCTGCAGTCTATGGTCACCTGCAGTCAAGTTTAACCGGAGAATGACACTCATTATAATCATTATCATCATTACTACAGCCCTTTACAAGTCCACTGCTGAACAAAGGCCACCCCCAAGGAATGCCACAAAGCACGGTCCTGAGCCACCTGCATCCATCGACTTCCTGCATGTCTAACCAGGTCGTCACTCCATCTAGTCAGGGGGACGCCCTACACTTCGCCTGCCGGTACGAGGCTGCCACTCGAGAACCTTTCTTCCCCATCGGTTGTCGGTTTTTCGAGCTATATGGCCGGCACATTGCCACTTCAACATACTAATTCTTTGGGCTATGTCTGTTACTCTGGTTCTACTGCGGATATCCTCATTTTTAAGTTTATCGCGCAGAGAAACGCCGACCATTGCCCTTTCCATAGGTCGCTGAGCGACTTTGATCTTCCTCATACGGCCAGCAGTGAAGGACCACGTCACATTATGATGTCATGTCAATATTAAAAAAAATTCAAGCAATAAATATCACGTTACTTTCAAACTAATCCCAAAATTCTGTGTAACACATCATTACCAGTCCCTAAGCGGAAAATGTAAGGTCGGTAACCCAGTTTCTTGTAGGTAGGTGACGTGGTGTAGGGCGACGTCGTTTTTTGTAACTGATTAGTTTCTTAGGCCTAGTTCTTTGAATATCTATCTTGCTAGACGGGCCTAGCCTGGCCTGGCCTAGCGAGAAGTGATGTCTCTACATCATGTGTCAATTTACTGAAAACTTGCTTACAGAAAAATCGCGTGAATAAATCATTGAATGTTTATGGTCGATTGTTTTGTTGACGGTCCAAGTACGATGTTTCGACTTATTGCTTATGGTATTGTTAACATAATTATAAGTAGCGGCACGAAAGTCTAGCGGTGATAATTATTGCGCGCATAAGTCGTGCTGATTGGCTTATTGAGCATAAGTCGCGCTGGTTGGCTCGTGCGTATTATTCGCACGCGCTGATTTTCTCGCCAGTCGCATTCGTGCTATGCAATTCGTGCGCGTCCCCTCCACGTTTCGTTCAGAGCTAGACTTACCCGCGTACTTGTATGTATATTAATGACCTTGAGTTTGTTTACTAATATCTTCAAAACTTTTTTATATGAGAGGGGGCAAACGAGCATACGGCTCACCTGATGGTAAGTGACTGCCGCCGCCCATGAACAACTGCAATACCAAGCCTTTCAAAAAAGAGTAGGCTCTTTTCT